CCCCCCCCAAATGTTTTTGCGATAGGCTTATCAAAGATCAGATTACAGTAAGTAGCTGGGTTCAACTCTTGGTTCTCTATTCTGTTCCATAAATCTACCTCTCTGTTTTTGTGCCAGTACCATCCTGTTTTGATCACTATAGATTTATAGTATAACCTAAAGACTGATAACGTGATACTTCCTCATTTGTTTTTATTTCTGAGTATTGTATTGGCTATTTGATACATTTCTGATTCCTTATAAAATGAAGCACTGTTTTTTCAAGCTCTTTATGCCTTTTTTTCCTGTGTCTTGCCTATTCTACTGGCCACAACCTCCAGTGAAATGTTTGATAGGTTGGGTGAGGTAAGACATCTCTTGCTAGTTTCCTACTTCAAGGCGAAAGGGTTTAATGTTTCACCCTTTTCTTTCTCTTTCTCTCTCTTTCTTTCTTTCTTTTTTTCTTTCTTTCTTTCTTTCTTTTTTTTTAAAGAGACAGGGTCTTTCTCTGTCTCCTAGGCTAGAGTGCAGTGACATCATCATAGTTCACTGCAACCTTGTACTCCTGGGCTCGAGGGGCTCTCCCTGCTCACCCTGCCCGGTAATTAGCACTGCGGCACATACCACTCTGACAAGGTGTTACCCAGGCTGGTCTCAAACTCCTGGCCTCAAGGATTCCTCCCACTTTGGCCTCCCAAAATGCTGAGATTATAGGCACGAGCCACCACACACGGCCTAATATTTTACCCTTAAGATATTCGCAGTAGGCTTTTCATAGATGTCCTTTATCATGTTGGGAACGTTCCCTCTATTTCTAGTTAGCCAAAAGCATTTTGCCAGTTTTTTCCTGTGTGTATTAGAATAATGATGTGATCAGTCCACTCTACTCTCTCACTGTGGTAAATGGCAGTACTATGTTCTTGAGGAGTTTGGATTAATAATTTTCTTGCAAAGTGCTTATCTGGTTTTAGTGTCAAGGTTGAACTGGTTTTATGAAAGAGGCTAGGACATGTTCCCTCTGCCATTATTTTCAGAGAGCTTACGTAGCAGTAGCATTTTCGTCCTGATTATCTCCTGCAGTCCAGCTGGTGCTATCTTACACCGCCTCCAGCAGTGCATGGGATTCCCGTTATTTCACCTCTTTGCCACCACTTGCCCTTCCTCATCAGACTTTGAGTTTTGTCTTCTAATAGGTATGAAGTGGTAATTAATGCTTTGTTTGGCTTTGTTTTACATTGTCCTAATTAATAGTGAGGTTGAGGTTACTGGGCCTTCTAGTTTTTATATAGACTAGCACTACTCTGTGGAGGCCAGGACTCTTGGCACTGGACGCTGACCCACAGCTGCAGGGTCTACTAACAGTACCTGGTGTCCTTGTCTTACACTGATCCTCCAGGGTTCAGAAGTCACCCTCTGACTGTGCATCCCAGGCCTCGACTGTGGCACCAGGGTAAGTCAAGTTGGGAGAGGTGGCAGAGGGGCTGTTGACACACTGCTACACTAGAAAAAAAATTTGTCATTGGGCCACAGTGTTTTATTAGGTGGCTCCCAAGATAGAGATGTGTGAATTATGTATTCTCCAGGAGGCCTTGGGCTCAAAATAGCATGAGTTAAATGTAATTTACAAGGCAGTTAACACATTGTTTTTTAAATAGTTCTGTGTTTGTTTTACAGGTAATTCAGTGTCATTGGATTTTCAGAACTCTGTAGTGTCCAAACCAGACCCACCTCCATCGCAGAATAAGCCAGCAACTTTCAGACCACCAAACCGAGAAGACACTGCTCAACCTGCTTTCTATCCCCAGAAAAGTTTTCCAGAGAAAGCTCCAGTGAATGGTGCTGAACAGACTCAGAAAACAGTCACTCCAACATACAATCGATTCACACCAAAACCATACACGAGTTCTGCTCGACCATTTGAACGCAAGTTTGAGAGTCCTAAATTCAATCACAATCTTCTGCCAAGTGAAACTGCACATAAACTTGATTTATCTTCAAAAGCCCCCACTTCGCCAAAAACTCTTATGAAATCACACAGTTCAACGCAGCCTCCTGAGTTTGACAGTGGAGTTGAAACTTTTTCTATCCATGCAGATAAACCTAAATACCAGATAAATAATATCAGCACAGTGCCTAAAGCCATTCCTGTGAGGTAAGATTTTTGCCTGTATTTAAAGCATTGGCCCTGTGATTTTTCTTATTTGAGCTTGATATGGTTGCTATGACTTGGGACTTGAAGTGATGACTTTAACTTGCCCTTCAGACTAAAAAGTGTTGTTGCAGTGAATGCCATTACATAGAAGCTCTTCCAGGAGGCACGGATGTTAATAAAATAATAAAACTAATAGTCACATATGGTTGATAGGTATTGTACTGAGGTTGAGTGGTGGCCAGCACTTTGCCCACAGTCACCGGGATGAGGGAAGCCTAAACTCGGCCTCTGACCTCAGAACTCATACTTTTAAACAATCGTGGCTGCCTATAACTTTCTGACCCCCGACTGATGGGGTACATGTGGCGACTATCTCAAAAATGTAAGTATCAGTGTTCCTCATTCATTATTTGTTGAACAAGGATGCTAGAAATAAAGGTGTCATAACCTCAGAGTGACTGTTAAAAAGCATCCATCAGTTCGTGTAATAACAAATTGGCTGAGCAAACGAGACAAAGCAAGCCTGCCCCGACTCTGACTCCAGACAACCTTTTCTGTCTTCTCGTTAATCAGTGATTGAACAGACCCATTTTGGCCACACATAAGCTCATCTTAGCCTCCTAAATCAAATGAAATTTTCAGGCTACCCATGAAGCAGAAGCACATTCACAGGCAGAACCAAGACCAGGAGAGCCCCTGTAGTCTGCTGCTTCCCAAGAGAAGGGGTGGCTCTGTCAGTGGCTGCCTTCTCGGGGGTTAGGGATGGGGCACAGGGGCCTTCTCCCATGCAGGGGCTACTCGGTGTTAGAGGGGCTGGGCTTTGCTCTGTTGTCATTATGCCACGCAGGCTGTCCCTGCTGGAATGAAGTTGTAGCTACCTTTGGACACTTTGTTGATCCATCTCTCTGCACACCATTAAGTCATGGCTCAGCTTTATTTCAGGAAGTCTCAGTAGCCTCCATTTTTGAAGCAGTCATTGCTGCCACGTCCCTTTTCCCTTTGGCATTCTTTGATTACTAAGTTAATCTACTCTCTTTCCATGACAGTTTGGGATATATCCGTACCAAAGTCTTTAGCACTTGGAAACTGGAAAGCCTGGCCTTTGGTAGATGGTCATTTAATACTCAGGGCGTGCTAAGGAAGGGCCATACATAAGCACAGTTAAAACCCTAGGGCAGCAGTTCTCAACCTGTGGGTCGCGACCCCTTTGTAACTATGAAAATAGCATTCTGCATATCAGATATTTACATTACGATTCTTAACAGTAGCAAAATTACAGTTATGAAATAGCAACGAAAATAATTTTATGGTTGGGGGTCACCACAACATGAGGAACTGTATTATAAAGGGTCGCAGCATTAGGAAGGTTGAGAATCACTGCCCTAGGGTGATTTTGGTAAGTCTAAGATGCCATCAGTTGTAAGTTCATCATCACTCAGAAGGAAGAAAAGTATTACCAATTAAACTTCAACTTACCAATAGATTTAAAGCACCGGTTTCATAGATGTCAAAATCTGCTTCCATAAGACTCATAAGGACGGGTCGAGTATCCTTTACCCAAGATGGTTAGAACCAGAAGTGTTTTAAATTTGGGATTTTTTTGGATTTTAGAATATTTATATTATATTTATCAAAACATTCTGATCAGCATGTCCTTTGAACTTCATTTTGATGCTCAGTAAGTTTTAGATTTTGGAGCATTTTGGATTTCAGATTTTCTAGTTAGGGGTATTCAACCTATAGCTGAGTGAGCAAGTTACCAGATTTTGTACATTAAGATTGCAAAGTCAGTAATGAAGGTAATTTGATCAGTTACCTTCAAAAATGAATTGATTTCTCCAAGAAACATATGCTTTTAATTAACTCTGTGAATAAAACCTATCACTAAAAACTTACCTTGTTGAAGCAAATAAACTTCTCGATTATATGGAGAAATAAAAATAAAATGAAACCACCTATTACAATAGCAGTAAACAACTCCTATACATTATTAGAAGTTTACTCATTAATCATTTAACTCTCAGTCCTTCAGCTGTGGAAGAAGATGAAGATGAAGATGGTCACACTGTGGTGGCCACAGCCCGAGGCATCTTCAACAGCAACGGTGGGGTGCTGAGCTCCATAGAAACTGGTGTTAGTATAATTATCCCACAAGGAGCCATCCCTGAAGGAATTGAGCAGGAAATCTATTTCAAGGTCTGCAGAGACAACAGCATCCTCCCACCTTTAGATAAAGAGAAAGGTAAACGTGTTTATTTTTCTACTTCGTTTTAATAACTAAAGAGTTGCCCTGTATGTACTTCGAAGTTTAAAGTACTTGGCTGAATCCAGCAGCCTCACTCCTGCCTCCACGGGCCAGCCACAGGATGTTTCTTTCATCAGGAGGGCCCGTGGAGGAGAGTACCCTGGGGATGGTGTCCCGGGCATGCAGTGGGTGGCGTGAGGTAAGGCTGTGGTGACATTCCACATGGCCTGCTTTACTTTCAGTGCAGAATCAGAAGTGACAGCAGGAACGGGCCGGTGGGGCATTCCTCACACATGACTGCTGGGCAGTCTGGACCTGCTCGGCCAAATTCATCTCAGTCAGTTCTTCCATCTCCAGAGATGGGTTAGGGAACGCCCATTCAGAAAGATATTACTTTGCCTATTGACTGATCGTAGAATGTAAGCTACTTGAGGCAGGGGCTGTCTTACCAGTCACCTCAGAACCTAGCACTAGTAAATATAGGCTAATGATGTGTCCTTAGAGCAGTGTTTTTCAACCTTTTTTTATCTCACAGCACACTTGAACCTATAGTTAAACGTCACAGCTCACTTATGTTGACCAAAAAAAGCAAAAAAGAATCTATTTACTGTGTTTTGCACTTCTTTTGAAAATAATTTAATTAATGATCTGTAAAAATTTTCTCAGCAAACCTAAGATCAGCATATCAGGGTGCTGAGACACACCAGTTGAAAATTTCTACCTTAGAGGATATTACCCAGAATGTTTTTGAGCTGCTTACTGCAACCAAGAATGCCCTTATTTTCATAATATTTATTTATATATAAATATAATATATTAGGGTATAAATATATATACCCTAATCTTATTTATGAATCTATCAGGATGATGTGATGATGAACTGTTACAATTTCTTTTAGCAGTACTTTATTTCTTTAAATACATTACTTTAGTTCACTGTGTTATATTTTCCCAGAATACTCACATTTGATTTTATACTCTGATTTGGGGATACTGTTTTAAAAACCACTGGTACTGACTGTGTTGGCCCTGCACGATTCCTTAAAGTCTAGAACAAACATTAAAAATGGAAAATACAAGTAACGTTTGTGAAAGGTGCATTTGAATATGCGTTATACAATGTACTCGTGATTAAACACGGCAGCCGCTAGCTGCACGTAGCTCCCAGCACTTGAAATACGACCATTTTGATTGAAAGGTGCTGGAAATGTAAAACATCAGTTTCAAAGATTTTGTATATTGATTTTACAAAATAATTTTTTGTTATATTGAGTTACATAAAATATTAAAACTGATGTCACCTGTTTCTTTGTACTTACTTCTTATTGTGACTCCTAGAAAATGTAAAATTCCATATGAGTCTTCCGTTATCTATTTCTTGGTCAGTGCCACTGTAGAGAACTAACGCTGTTAGGCTTAAAGCATAAGATCCAAGGGGAGTAAGAACTGTGGGTCTAGAAAGAAGGCTGCCATCTAACCTTTCTACCTGTGGCCTTCCCCAACCCCAGGTGAAACCCTGCTGAGTCCCTTAGTGATGTGTGGGCCCCATGGCCTCAAGTTCCTGAAGCCTGTGGAGCTGCGCCTGCCACACTGTGCGTCCATGACTCCTGACGGTTGGTCTTTTGCTCTAAAATCATCCGACTCCTCGTCGGGTATGCTGTCTTCACTCTGTCCTTTGGGGGCTTTGGGCACTGTCGTTGATTAATACCTGGTCTGATGATACTACCCATGCTGTGTGTTAGCAGATCTCTGACTCTGTTCCTGTGGCCTTGTAGGTATCACCAGTGTTTTCAGATTGATACAGTGGAACCTCCACAGTTGACCACCTCCCTACACTGACTACCTTAAGTTGACCTGATTTTCATAGACCAGACTCAGACCTCATGTACATATCAGTGCAGTAGGCCTAGTTCCTTTTGTTGACTATCTCTCTGTGTTGACCAGTTTATTTCTGTCCCTTGAGTGGTCAACTCACAGAGGTTCTACTGTATTTTAAATGAACATGGAAAGGTAGAGGGATTTATACCTTTAAAATTTTACAATAATTTGGCCAAAGGTTGACTCTTTCTTGGTGTTCATTATTCTGTCAAAATGTTTAGGATGCAATGGGAGCATTGTCACTGTCCTACAGATAATAGTTATTTTTATCTTCTTACTAAAATGACTTTATTCCTTTATGTAATTATTTCTGGCTTTGGTTACTAGTCTTTAATTTCTTAATCTACAAAGTATATATTCTAGGAAAACTTAAGACAAAGTATTTTCCACTGTGATCATACTTGGCCATGGTTTCTCAATGTGTAAGATTCTAACTTTTATTACACGCTATTTTTAAATGACATTTTGTTCTTAAGATGATAATTTCAAAGTTTCCATTGCATTTTCACATTTCTCACTTCCTTGAATGACTTAAGTCAGTTACCAATTAGAACTTTATCTTTGGTATAGATTACTTTTAAGAGAATCTGATTATAAGAATTTAAAGTTCTTCTAAATTTTTGAAAATTAAGATGAGCATTATATAGTTTTGATGTGGTATAATATGAAATAAAGGTTATGGTATGATGATTATAATAGCATATTTTAATATTACCCAGGAAAAAAATTATTTAAAAATATGTATTTCCTCATATTTATTAGTACTCCATTTTCTGGAAAAAATAACAAATTAATTTTAACACAGTAGATATTAAAGCTATTTCCTCAGGGACTCCACTAAGAAACATTTTATTAGCCTAGTTTGAATTAGCAAATTAATGTTATAAAACTGCATTTAAGATGTGTTTCTGAAAGTCACGTGGCAGCATGAGATCTCATTGTTCTCTAAACTATATTAGGATGAGGATCCTTAAATTTCTACTTCATAAGTGATTTTTTTTCAGATATTACATGAAATGTAAATGATTTCCTTGTTTCGTTATTTTCATTATTTTATGCAGAACATAAGTTGTTTGGTTAGATTGAAATAGCTTACTTTTTCTGTATTAAATTTTAAGTATATTTACCCAGAAAATAAATGTATCTTTGTATAATCCTGTATGGCTTTAAAATACTCTGCTCCTATAAATTTCTGTCCAAAAGTCTATGTAGATTTTGATAAATACTGACTTGAACAAAAACTA